AGATGATCTGAGGTGGAGAGAGCCGCCAGGAGTTACTGGCCCTGGGACTTGTTTCCAGAACTCTGATGCTACTCAGAGCCTGGTGAGCATATGAGTGGGTCTTTCTCCGCAGTGCCCAGACTCAGGGCCACTCTGTGAGGCCTCGTCCTGTCTAGACTGTTCTCCCAGCCGTCTGCGGACCACCTACAGGAGTGGGGGACATGTTCAGCATGTGGAGCCCTGTATCTTTACCCCAAACCCACTGAATCAGCCTCAGACCTGGCACTGAGGAGCGTCATAGCTAAGTCTCCAGGGGATTCTTGGGCCCCGAGGAAGAAGGCCCAGCCTGGGTGATGGCTTGGGTGTTACTGCTGGCCAGTTGGGCATCTTGATGCAGAGATGGGCTTGGGGAGGGTAAAGGCTGAATTTCTGTACCTCAGAGAACTCATCCCCCGATTGCTCGCTGAAGTCTGGGGGTGAGGGGTCAGCCTGTTTCCCTCAGATCCATAGATTCTGCCATCAATAAGGGGGTGAAAGCTTCTAAAAAGTCAGAATCTCTCAAGCCTCCTGAGGGTACCTGCTGTCGTGTGGGATCTCGACGGCCCTGGAATGGTGTGTGGTCCTGGTGTGACTGGGCCTGTCCTCTCTGGCTGGGGACTTCAAGCCTGGCCCTTATGTTCCTCATAGGGCGAACCCAGGCCCTGCAGTTCCCCTTCCACAGGTTCCCCTTCCAGGGCTTGACTCTGTGCCCTGGCAGCTGGCCAGGGCTGGGCAGACCATTTCTCACCCCCTCTTTCTCCTTCCCACAAAGTCCCGGGATGATGATCCCCAATTTCTAAGTTCAGAACTCCAAGCTGCTGTCCATTTAGCATGTGTTGGGGAACACAGTAACACTTCTGGAAGGTCTGTTTTATCCCTCAAGTCCAGCATCGGACGACACACAATAGTGAGGTAGGGTGCGGCCTGGGAGCCATGGCCTTGGGACGTGGTGGTTGCGGATTGATAGGGGGTGGTGGGGGCCAGGGGTTGGGGTGGTACAGATGAACATCCTCTTTGGTCAGCCCCAAGTTAGAAGCCCCTCACTTGACCTCAGATGCTCACTTGATGTCCCATCTGTGACCCTGCCGTGGAGCTTCCTGCCCCGTGTGTCTGAAGGGAGGCTGCATCACACTCCCAGGCCCCTGGGCTAGCCAGGGTGCTACTTGAATGGAGGATGGCCCCCCTTACAGCCAGGATAGAGTGAGCGCTGGCAGGAGTTGGCTTGAGGCTACCTTCTAGAAGCGTCTCTGCCAGTGCTGCACAGGGGTCTCATGCCATGACTCCTAGAGCTTGAAGCCTCATTGAGGAGCCTTAAACAGGTGGACCCACCAGCCAGGGAAAGTGGACCTTTGGGCCACAGAGAAGGCTAGAGATGGCAGGTGAGGAGAACAAGTTGTCCAGAAGTCTGTGGACACTGCTGCTGTCCTTGGGCAGGTCCCTCACTCTGTCTGAACCTGAGTACCTTAGCTTGTGAGAACTTTTTTTTTTAAGATTTTATTTATGCATACAAGAGCTGGGGTACAGGCCAGAGATGCGGAGGGTGAGAGGATTCACAGAGACAGAGTGGGGAACAGAACAGGCAGACTGACGAAATACACTGCTGAGGGTTGCAGCGGGGAGACAGGAAAGGTCTGCTGCGCCATGTGGGTTGCTCCCTGGCCTGCCGGGGATCGAACTCATGCTGCAGAGGTTGCGAATTGCTTCATAGTGCGGTGCTTAACCCCTTGCGCCACCAGGGAGGCCCATGTGAGAACTATTAATGTCGCCCCCCTGACTTACCTGCAGGAGAGATGGGAAGGGAGGGAGAGAGCTCAGATGCTGGAGAAGGCCTCATGCCATCCCTGGCCACTTTCCTGCTTTCTGAACCCTTGGCCCCTGTCTCTCTTGATCCTTCCCACACAGTTTCGGGCGTGTCCAGGAGACCAGTGTGGCTGAGATGGACATGGACTCCTCTCTGCCTCCCTGCCCCATGACCCCCCAACTCCCACCCGACCCAAACCTGACTTTTCCAGCCAGGAGGCTGCCAGGGCCTCTGTGAGGGCTGTGAAGGAACAAGTGGGCCTTTCCCTTGAGCAAACTGAACCTCTTGACCTGAACATAAGGGCTTTGGTTTATTGTATGAAAAATGGATTTTCCCTGGACTTGCAGAAGTTGAAGGTGCCCTGAAAAATGGGGGCTGGTTTACCTTTGCCTCTCACACAACTCTGAGGTGGTTTCCGAGCCAGGCTGGTCTGTCCCCAGGCAGCCCTGATCGGGGATCCCAGAAGGACTCAGGTCAGACAGGGGCAGCGCTGAGGTGAGCCCGAGGGCTGGCCTCGGCGCCCGGCACAGCGGCCTGCACGGTGAACCAGAAGTCTCACCCAGACTCCAGTGTCAGCTGGCACCTGGTGATCCAACTTCAAACTTAGCAGTTTCTGCTAATTCCCTCCCCAGGTTGCTGAGACTACCACAGAAGGTTCAGGCCGGAGGGGGTTGGGGAGGTCACTCTGGCCCATCCCTGGGTCACTGCAGCCCAGCCCCACCGTGCAGACCCAGCCCAGGGGAGGAGAGGCAGCCTGGAGGCCAGGGAACTGGTTTCAGTGGAGAAAGCGTTTGCTTAAGAGCTTGTTGTGTAAACATGATTGCAGAGAAATAAGCCCAGCAGAGTTGAGGGAACAAATTGTTTTTAGGGACTGGGCAGATCCCAGGTCTTATCTAGTCAAGAGAGGAGCCCTGCTCTGGGGAAACTGTTAACCTGTGGGGCCTTCCTCTAGGTGAGGGCTGCGCCTCCCTCGTCTTCATCTGGGTCTCTGCTGGTGCCTCCCAGGTTCTGTGGGGTCCCTGGGGCGTCTAGTTCTCTGCTTGACTTGGTTCCCTCCCTGTGAAATAGGGCCTGGGCCCTTGACTCTGGCTTCTCTGGAGGTTTGGTGCTCTGAGGCTGCTCCGGCTGGAGCCCTGGTCCAGGAGCTTCCTCTCCAAGCGACGGAGTCGGTGTATCGGAAACGTGCTCTTCCTGTGGGGACCACCTGGGAAGCAGGACGCCCAGGGCGGGGGCAGGCACTGGAGAGTGTGACGAGGGTCTCCATGGGTGTGAGGGAGTGGGACCCCTGAATGCGGGCTCCCCTCCAAGCCGCCTTGCTGGGAGCAGTCTGCTGTGGACCTGAGCGGGCGCTGGCTGCTCTCGCACTGGCCTGCTGGGCACTGTGCTGGGTACTGAAGGGCGCAGGCTTCGGGGAGGCAAGGGGCAGCTCGGAAGCTTGTGGAGTGAGGACAGGGATTTGAAACACCTGTGACGGTGGACCCAGCATGTGGCTTGGGGAACAGGTAGAAAGTGGGGAACTTAACTGTTCCTTGTAGGTGGGCCATGACGGCTCAGACGGCTCCTTCTGGGACCAGAACCTTTTCTTGTGAGGGGAAGGTAGAGTTGGGTTTTGTGCTTTTGGAGGAAACTCAGTGGTATTTCTAGCCTTGTGGTTTCTACACGTGTCTGATACACCCCTGACCTGGCAGCTGTGCCCCGGCCTCAGGAGGCCAAAGTCTTGTCTTTCCCTCCCTGCCGGCCTTCTCTCAAGAGGGGGCCCTGTGTGGCCTGTGGCCAGGACCTGGCAAGGCCTCTTAGGCTGAGGACGCCCTGCAGCCTGAGCCCACGCTCATGCGGGAGCTGCCCCCTCTCCTGCAACCCGACTCACCGCCATCTTCCCTGACAGAGCAGCCACCCCTGCTGGGGGGTGGAGGAGCAATTCTCTGTCGGGGTCTCTACATGTCTAACCTCATTGAATTTTGCAACCATCATAGAGTATGATCTCTGCCACCCCACTTTACAGATGGGGAGAATGGAGCCCTGAGGGATAGTGATGCCCCAGGGCCATTCAGCTGTAAGTGGCAGAGGTCGGGGGTCTCCCAGCCTGCATGCTCTGAGCTGCTCTGCTCCTTTGTTCCGTCTCTGTTCTGACCTTGTCACTGGCCCCTCAGGTGAACTGTGTCATCAGGCCACCTGGGTCAAATGCTGAACAGGACACTGATGGCTACTTTTCTTGCCACCAGTCTGTGGGCCCTGCCTTCCCATCCACTGTACTGGGGCCGGTGTTGGGGGTAGGGGTGGTCCCCCATCCCAGTTTCTACGCAGGCCTGCTTGCCTATGCTCAGGCCCCTTCCTAGTCCTGTCTGGCAGCCCCCAGGCACCCCCTCCTCCCTCACCCCTGGTCTGTTCACACTCAGGCAAGGCCACCTCTCGGAGCCGGACCTGGGAGGCAGCGTTCCTGGGCAGCTGTTTGCACACAGATCCAAGCCAGGCCCAAGCCCGTTTGTGAGGTCCCCCTTAGTGCAGGGTCCCTTGAAGATCAGGTTCATGGGTCCCTAGCCTGTTGGGCGTTCCTTTCTTCGTCTCCCATGTAGGCCTGGACCCAGCCCTTCCTGCCCCTAAGCAAGTGGCCCACTGTGGGGAGGCGTCCTGGGCAGGCTGGGTGGGCCTGTGTGGGCACTGGCCTCACTGCAGCTCCCTGCCGTCCCTGCCCTCCCCCGGGGCTGCCCTCTCCCTGGAGCCAGGTCCTCATGAGACTGTTTCTGGGGCCTCCAGACACTCAGTGGGATAGGCTTGGTGGTCTTGGACTGTGAAACTCCCTCGACAGTGGCCCCCCAAGACGTCTGAGTTTTAGTGTAGGGTGGACTGAGGGGGCTCCACAGCCTGTGTTCTAAGTAACAGGGTCTTCTGAGAGGTCTGGGGTGCCCTCACTTGACTGAGCTTCTCTGACAAGGGCTCTGCCTCCTGTCGTGTTTCTGCGCCCCAACACCTAGTACACAGCTGTGCTGTCATAGTGTTGGAGGGATGCATGTGGGCCAGCGGGCTTCCCCGACCCGAGGGTCCTGGCGTCCACATCACACGCGCGGGCTTTCCTCTTGTGCTCTGGTGGGGAGAGAATTTACTCAACTGTCCAGGATGGAGGACCAGGAGTAGCGGGGCCTGGCCAGGCCTCTGCTCATACCATTTTCTGATTCTTTTCCAGCAAATAGTGGCCACCAATGTGCCCCCCGAAGATCAAGACAGCTCTGGGGATGACTCTGACAACTTCTCTGGCTCGGGTGCAGGTGAGGCTGATGTGAGGCCCCCTCCATGCCCCAGGTCATGGCTGGGGGTAGTGGTCAGGCAGCCCCCAGCGCTGGGGTAAGATGGGGTCTGTGCTACAGGAGGAAGTTTGTATTGCATGGGTGGGGGCAGTGCATGTTGTGGGCTCCAGGAGGCCCCAGGAGCCGCTGCTGCAGACAGCCGTGTCTGCCCCTCTGACTCCCTGGCCCACCTTCGGAAGTTACCTGTCTATGCTTCTATCTTCTCATCTGTAAAGTGGGAATATCTTGACTTCCAATGGTTGTCGGGTGCTATCGGGCAGCACACAGCCTGGGGGTGGTGGTGTGCATCTTAGATAACTGTTAAACCATCTCTCCTGGGGAGTGAAACCCCTGAGCTGGAGGTGGTCAGGGAGCCCCCCCCCAGAGGAGGTGCTCTTGCGCTGGACCCCCACTTCCGAGGAAGTAGGGGAGAGCTGAGGATAAAGAGCTGAGGCCACCCAGGCGGAGGGCTGAGAGCTGGGAGGGAGGAAACTGGCCTCTGTCTGCAGAGTCTGGGCCTTTCTTTCTGGGAAGGGGGCCGGCAGGTAGAAAGGTGTGCATGCTGGGGATCAGGCCTTCAGGCTCCTGGGGATGTCCCCGCCAGAGCATGGGCTTCAGCTGTCACAGGAAAGCTCCCTCACAAGGCCTTGCTGTCGCCTGGCCTCAGACACCAGGCTGCCCTGGGCACATGCAGCAGAAAGGGGCAGCTTCCCTGTCCACTTCCCAAAGTCCATCGTCACCTCAGCTAGTTCCATGCCAGGGGGTGCGGCTTCTCACGGAGGGGACGGCTTGCTCTGCCGATCGGGGAGCCGGCGTCACTGTCCCGGCCCCGGCACCCTGGCCTTCCTCACAGCCTGGAGTTGGCCTGTCCTGAGGTTCTGGTTCCGTCCCAACAAACGCTGCTTCTGGCCCTGCAGGTGCTCTGCCAGATATCACCCTGACACGGCAGCCCCACCCCACCTGGAAGGATCTGGGGCTCCTGCCGGCCACACCCACAGCCCCCGAGCCTACCGACAGGGACACCATCGTCACCTCCTTTGCCCTGCCGCCCGGAGGGGGCTCAGAGGGTGAAGAGGCAGAGCACGTGGTCCAGGTGGAGCCTGGCTTCACCCCCTGGGAGAAGGAGAGCACCCACCCCTCCCACGAGACCACACAGCACCCGACCGCCCATCGGACGTCGACAGCGAGGGCCGCCACGGCCCCGGGGCCAGCCACCTCCCACCCTGACCACCACGAGACCACACCTTCCGACCGAGCTGGCCAGCACGGCCCTCATGTTCACAGCCTGGATGAAGAAAGTCCTTCTGCCACCGAGAGGGCCACCGAAGACGGCGCCTCCAACCAGCTCCCAGTGGGAGAGGGCTCTGGGGAGCCGGTGAGGGCCTTCGCCCGCTGTCCTCTGCATTTCCTGGGAGGCTGGGTGCCCTGGTCCTAGGGGGAGGCTCTAGGTCTCTCCTGCCCCCAGGGCAGGACAAGCTAACTGAGGCCAGAGCAAGTCTTTCTAGGTCACCAAAAGGAGGGGGCCCCACCCTTAGCCAAGGCCCCTGCTTGAAAGGTCAAGTCCTGACGAGTGTCCCCTCTCATCTTCTGGTGCTCGGTAACGCACGCTGCACCCCACGAGCCTCCCTTCCTGCAGAAACGTGCGCTTTGCACCACCGGCCGCGATCCCGCTGGTGTCGTGTAGAAGGGGCGCCTGGCTTTGGGCCCCAGGAAGTCTGGGTTGGGGCGTGCGCCTGAGCCGGTGGCCGAGGTGCCTGGGGAAGGCCAGAACTGCTTCTTTCTGGGTTTGGAAAGGGACTGGGGGCTGCGGCCGGCAGTGGCAGTGGCCCTAATCCTGCTCTTGCCCTCCCACAGGACTTCACCTTCGATACGGCCGTGGAGAACTCGGCTGGGGCCGGCGTGGAGCTGGACCGGCGCAACCAGCTCCCCGTGGACCACATGGTCACGGGCACCTCACAGAGCCTCCTGGACAGGAAGGAAGTGCTGGGAGGTGAGTTTTCTTGCAGGGGCGTGGGGAGGGGACAGACTGCGGCTCGGTGGGGTGGGTGTGTGGAGGCTGTCTTAGCCCGGGTGTGGGGCTGACCACTGCCGAGGCCCCTGCTTGGGCTGCCCAGTGGGAGAGGGGCCTCCGCTTAGGGGCCTCCGCTCAGTCCGAGCTGAGCCCGTCTCTGTCTGTCCACCCTAGGGGTCATTGCCGGAGGCCTGGTGGGGCTCATCTTTGCCGTGTGCCTGGTGGGGTTCATGCTGTACCGGATGAAGAAGAAGGACGAGGGCAGCTACTCCTTGGAGGAGCCGAAACAAGCCAACGGCGGGGCCTACCAGAAGCCCAGCAAGCAGGAGGAGTTCTACGCCTGACGGGAGCGGCTCCCCTCCCCCGCCACTTGCTAGGCCCCCATTTGCCTCTTCCATGAAGAACCACAGGCCCTGCCTCCCTGCCACCACACCGCAGAGCCGGGGCTCCCTGGAGGCTCTCCTCTGCTTCTCTGACTTCTGCCTGGGGACTTGGGCGCGAGGGCTTTCTTTGTATGACCTTTCCGCCACAGCCAGGCCCTGGTGTCCCACCGTTCTGACTCAGTTTCTCCAAACTGGTGCCGCCTCTCCCTAGCCCAGCTCTGGAGACACAGAGGACTCACCCCACTCCCTTGGACCTGGACAGCCCGGTGGGCTGGAAGATGCTGTGCTGAGGGCTGAGCTGACACAGCTGTAGCACTTACTGGCAGAGACCCAAAAAGACCTAGGGGGCCTGGACACCCGAGCAGCAGGGAGGGGTGGTCCGGCTCGCCTGGTCCGGCTCACCTGATCCAGCTCACCTGGTCTGGCTCACCTGTCTCGTCGGCATCAGTTGGCTTTGTGGGGGTCTAATTTAGATATCAACTTGTTTTTGCACATGTTTCCGCTAGTTTCTTTGTTCATAGCCCGTAGACTTTGTTACTTCTGAGGTAAGTTAAGTAAGTTGACTTGGCTCCCCATCTGGCTCCCCTAATCGACGGTCAGGAGACAGCATCAGGGTTAAGAAAACTTTTTTTTTTTTTTAAACTAGGCGATCCGAATCTGGAAGCCAACATGTAGGCATCATTTGTGTGTTTTCTCTGAGTTTGTCGCTCACGTGTGCAACAGGGTACGGAATCTGTTGAGTGGCCCCGTTGGTGGGCTGGCTGACCCGGCTGCCGTGGGCAGTCACACCCATGTCCATGAACTTGGAGCCACGGCCACTCCTGGTGTCAAGGACTCCGTGTGAGAATTGAATCCTGGCACCTCGGGCTGGGAATGGAGGAGAGAGGACTGTGGGGTGGGGGAGGTGGGTCCAGAGGGTCTCCATAGACCAAGCCCTTCCTTTGGGGCCACCTGGGGCCGTTTCTTCTGGAAGGTGACGACAGGCGTCCTGGGCACACCTGGCGCCGAGCTGCTCCCTGCAGCCCAGGTCACTTTTGATTCGCTCCTGCGGCCCCACCCTGGGCTGGATTCAAGAATGTTTCCAAAGAGTCATAGTCTTTTGCTTTTGGCAAAACTCTACTTAATCCAATGGGTTTTCCCCTGTACAGTAGATTTTCCAAATGTAATAAACTTTAATATAAAGTGGTCACGTGAACGCTACTCGTTTGCGTCCCTGTGCGGGTTGTGTGGACGTGACCAGCCTTTTTCTCTAAACAAGGACAGTGGGGAATGCGGCTAAAAACTCTTCCCTGTGGGGAGGGATTCTGGGCCAGCCTCCCTCTGGGTTGCTGGGTTTTTTGTTTTTGCTCAAATGCTGGAGGGCAGTAGGCTTAGCCAAGGTTATATAAGGCCTGATGTTGATTTTTGTTGCCAAACTCGAAGCACCAGCTCCTCGATGGCTAAAGAAGCACAGCTTGGCCTGAGGCCACTGGCCCCGGAGGCCTGGACTTTGAGACACCCACCTCTGCTAGGACCACAGCCCCGCCGGGGCGCCTGCAAACTCCTGTGCTTGCTTATTTAACTCGACTGCGTTCCAGCTTCTCTGCTGGCGGCTCCGGGAGGGACCCACCTGTACTGTGAGATGCATTGCCTCGCGGGGAACCTGCACCTGTGTTCAGTCCTGGGACTTTCTGCTTGTGTGACAGGACACGACCTGGTAGGGAAGGGGTCCGTGACCATGGTCCATAGGACAGTGCTGAGCCTGTGGCTGCGCCCCTTCTTGTAACCGTAATAAATGGTACTTGTCACTTCGGGCTGTGTGGTGGCTGAGTCTCTTCTCTCTCTGACAGCGTCCTTCTGGGGGACGGCGCCAGCTCTGGCTCTGCCTGGCTTGGTGAAGAACTGTGGGCTCAGCACCAGTTTCTCTGCATTTGGGAAGGCTGTGTCCACCCTGCCCTCCTCCAGCCCTGGTTATCTCATCTTTTCCGGGGGTTCTCTGCCTTATTCTCTCCCATGCAGCCCCTCTTTCTTGCTCTCCTTCTAGATCATTCCCTTCAGGGGCACTGGGCTCTTTCGGTTTGCTAGCTACTCTGTTTGCGGATCATGAGACTCCTGAACGCCACAAGCAAACGTTCTCAAGTACCAAGGCCTAAGAACGTTGGCAGTGTTAGGGAAAACCTGCGCTGAAAGTCTGGGTTGTTGCGAAAGCACAGCTCATTGCAAGAGTCCCAGGATCCTGAGGACGGCTGCCCTCTCCATCCTCAGTCTCCCCCAGGCTGCTGACCTCTCCCACCTCCCAGCAGGTCTCCCGGAGCTGGGGCCCTTGGCACCTGGTTGCTTCCTGACACTGGGCCCTGGGGGTGTCCCGGGCACCTGCCACTGGGACGAGGACTGTGGACCTTGTGTGGTGCACAGTTCTCTCTGCAGCACTTCATGTCACAGGAGGCTGGGCCAAAGTCAGCTCATTCATTCATTCAACAAACATGGAAAGCACCAAATGCCTACTTTCTGCCAGTTCCGGGGCTGGACAGCGAGGCACAGCTGAATGGATATCCGCTGTTGGTGTTTTCATGGGGCCAGACACCTGTCAGGCAGGATACCTGGCTTCCTGTTTTACTGAGGGTTTCTAACCTGTCTGTGATGGCACAGATGATAACTACCCCCACTGCAGACAGAAGCTGCGCTGCAGAGGAGAAGTACATTGCCCCAGGTCATGCGCCAGTGAGCAGTGGAGCTGGGGTTTGGGTGGGAGAGGCGTGGTCCCTGTGCCTACAATGGACCCTGCACACAGAAGGGCACGGGGCCTGGAGACCAGGGAGGATGGCCTCTCACATGGGGCCAGTAAGCTTCACAGAGCTTCCCGGGTCACCTGCCCTGTCACCTCCAAATAGGCCAAACTGTAACTGCCTCCCAGGACTCTCCATCCTGCTCTGTGCTCCAGCCTTGGGTCACCCCCACCTTGCCAGAACAGGGTAGTGCCCCAAACCAGGCTTTTTGGAGAGAGACTAACAGTAAGGAAGCTAAAACACAAAGGGTGTGAACACTCTTTGAGTTCCTCAGTGGTTCCACCTTGTAATGGCAGGAGGACACAGAGCAGGTTCTCCATGACCCAAGCAGATGGGTGAAGGAGAGAGCTGGAACCCTCAGTGGCTTTTCAGGCTTTTATTGGGGTTTACCAGGTACACGGCAGGCAGGGGTGCTGGCCTCCAAGCCCCCAGCAAGTCTTTACTCTACCTGGGTTCTCCGGCCTTCTCTGGTGTCCTTATTCTCTGCTGTTCTCGTGGTTCTGCTGGCGTCCCCGTGATGCCGCCCTTCTAAGCCCAGTCTCTCAGCCCAGGTGTTCCCACTCACGCATGCCCACACCCCACTCCAGGTGCCGCCATCAGGCCTGCATGCAGGACCGCAAGGATCCATCATCCATCCTAACGGCGGGAGGGCAGAAAAGCTGATACTTTTTCACTTACCCTACAGACCTCAAGGACTTTCTCTGCCCATCTGTCTTCAGGCCCACTTGCTGCTAGTTTCTTAAAACTGAATCTCGCTCCCTTCTCTGCTTTCCCAGCACTCCCTTCCCCTGCCTGGGGACTTTGATTCGGCGCCATTTCGTTTTCCTTCACCTTTGTGAAGCGTGTGTGTGGGACTGGGGGACCCACTGAATTTTCCATTGAGAGTCCTTTTGAGTTATTTTCTAAACCAAAGAGCCATGTTCTCTGGGATTGTGTCCCCTTCCTAGTTTGCGGTCAGTTTTTGCTTTAAGTTGCAACTCCCGCTTTGCTGGCTCCTTGGGCTTTGCTTGGCCGGCACGATACGGTCAGCTCCAGAACCCAGCTGTGCGTCCCTGCTCTCGGGGAGGCTGTGACCCTGGGGGAACGGACAAGGGAGAGGAGAGGGTTCCCGTGACCGCGGCCGGCGGTGGCACCGGCGTCTCACCCACTGGACGTCTGGTTATGGGACGTGCCCCGAGGTAGCCCTTGAACTGGGTGTTGAAGGACAAATTCCAATCGACCTCTCAAACCCGGAGAAGCATTCCAGGCGGAAGGAACAAACTCCAGAGGCTTTGTACTGCTGTGAAGTGCACGTTGGAGTGGGAAGAGGCAGGACCGTGAGGAGAAAGCGGCCGTTTGCTTGGTAACCTTGTGAGAACCTGGAGGATCCCGGTGGGTGCAGGCAAGGTGTGGAATCACAGAGGGGTGGACGGTGGAGGCTCAAAGAGGCTGCTTGGGGAGGGGTAGGGAGGAGGGTTGATTGGAGAAATTAAGGGGAAGAACTGGCACACAGACCTGTGAGCTGTGCCCCATGGGTGTCCCTTGCCCCGCCCTCCGTGCACGTTCTCAGGTGGAGCCTGAGCTGGCTGTGGGCCTCTGATCTCGCTGGTCCTCGGGTGAGGAGGCCGTTGGCGCTGGCTGGGAAGGGAGGGGGCTGAGGGGACAGAAGGACGGTGGCCACAGAGCTGGGTCATGGGGGTGGTTTCACGGTGAGGCTCTGGTGGTAGGTGCACCCTAAAACAGCATCTGGGAGAGAAGCTCTTTTTTTTCCTTTTTATTGAGGAAAAAATTTCCAGTGCTGTATAGGTTCCAGGAGCACATTTTCTTACCTCAGCATCTGCATATATCTCACCCTCTCATCACTAACTGTCCAGTCACTTTACATGAACTCTGTTTATAGTGATTCCTGGGCAGTGCAGCCCAAAAGTGGGAGAAGTGGCTGCTGTGCAGGCACCCCCTACAATTGTTGGCTCAGGCACATGCCAATACAAGGGACTCCTAGGCCCAGCACCGCATGGGTTGGCATCAAGGATTGGGGGGGCATGGTTGAAGAGCAGCAAAGGTGGGGGTGCAGAGGAAAGATCTCTGGCTTAAATCGGAGGCCCTCAATACAGAACAGCTGGAGCCTGAATCAGTGGCGAGAAGCACATAAATCACCTGTTTCCTCAGAGAAGAGGCTACCAATGGTGATAAGCTAAGCTAAGCAGGGCTGGGATATTCAAAACATCTGCCCCAGCCCCAGCCCAGGGTTAAAAACAAAACAACAAAAGAACACGTGAATCAATTAAGTTCAAACACCTGACCAATACAGGCGCAAACACCCCAGTATGAGGTTCTATGCTGGAGAAGAAAAGAAAACTCCTGGCCCTCCGCCCAGTATCAACTACACTCGGCCCAGCACAGTAGCTAGTGCTCAAAGACAGCCCAGAGTGGAAACGGACATGAGGTTGCAACGGACAACAGGCGAGGAGCTGGCCTAGGAGAAGGATCGCTGTGGGTCCACAACACATAGCTCTGGAACCCACGCACAGTCGGAGACTTGAGTTTTTCACGTTGAGTGGAGGTGACCCTTAGGTGCCCTATGGTGCAGGTCCTTTTCTATACCTACTGGGCGAAGACCTTGTTGGTCCCAATTTTCCTATTACTTCAATAGGAAGACAACAGTCTGAAAATCTATCTATACAAGTCATCAAAATTTAAAATGAAGACACATTTGTAGATGAACATTCTACAAATATTGGAACAAAACAAAACAAAACAACAGAAAACACTAACCCTCAGAATCATCTCAATCCAGCAGAACTACAGAAAATGACTACAGGAGTTCAAGATCTAACAGTGCTTAGGGAACTCAAAAAAAAAAAAAAAAAAAAAGCCACCAGAAAACCCCAAACAAACTCAAAACCCAGAACAGTCTATAAAACAGCAACAGAATAAAGATAAAGAAAATAAGAGGCAGCTACAACTAGAAATAATGGAGCTAAGAAATCTATAACTAATTTAAAAATACAATTGAGGACTTAACAGCAAAGAGAAGCAACGAGAAGAATTAATGAACTTGAAAACACAATGTTGGAGAACACACAAATAGAACAATGTAGAGAAAAAGTAATTAAATAATGAAAATAGTTTAAGAGCCCTTTGGGATAACTTAAAGAGAAATAGCATCCATATCATGGGCGTCCCAGAAGGAGAAGGGAAAGAGAAAGGTGGAGGAAATTTATTTAAAAAATAATTGCTGAAAAGTCATCTCTACCTGGCAAAACATAGACACTGTGATCCAAGCGGCCCCAAAGATTCCAAACAAAATAATACTAGAAAGAGACACACCAAGACACATTATACTATAGCTGTTAACAGCCAGCATGGGCAGCATATTGAAAACATCAGGAGAAAAAAAGAGTAACCTATAAGAGGACACCGATTAGACTGTCAGCAGGCTTTCCAGTAGAAACGTTATAAGCGTGAAGGAACCAGAAGGAGAAAAAATATTTCCAGGCAGAGTCTTTTGCCCAGCAAAATGAATATTCAAGACAGAAGAAGTTTCATTGAAAGGAAGGCAAAAACTAAAAGCATTTATCAACACCAAGCCACATATGAGAACAATTTTAAAGGGATTATTACAATGAAACAGAACGGCAAAAATAGAGGCAGCAGACCGAAATCACTTCACGTGGAGGAGAGGGCCAGTGAGCGTGTAACCTGTCAGAATGAGCCAGAGAGCAGACTGCCCCACAGTTCACACAAGTACTAATCTCAGTAGAACCCTCAAACAAAAATTAATAGAAGTAGCATATAAAACAACGGACATGGAACCTAAACAAAACAGAACAGGAAGACCTCAGAACATAAAAGGACACCCCTCCCAAAACACAAAAACCAGAAACATAACAAAATGACAATGAGCAATTATGTGTCCATAATCACTTCAAATGTAAACAGTCTGAATTTACCAGTCAAAAGATGTAGGGTGGTTCCGTGGATTTCAAAACAAAGTCCCACTTTCTGTTGCTTACAAGAAACCCATCTTACCAACAAAGACAAAATCT